CCCGCCCCGCTGCGCCGGGCCGGGCCGGGCCGGGCCGGGCTGGGCCGCGCTGACGCACCGGAGCGGGGCGGCGGGGAGGCTGCGTCCGGACGGCGCCCCGTGCGTGGGGCCGCTCCCGGGGTGAGCGGGGCCCGGCCCGGCCCGCGGTGCGGGGCCGTGCGCTGCGCCGGGCCGACGCTGATTGGCACCGGGCGGGGGGAAGGACCGCGGTGACGTGGCTCTCGCGGAGCTGCCTCGTGCTGTGCGGCGTGGGCAGGGAGCAGTGGGGAGGGGGTCTGGAACGCCCCTTGTGCAGTCGTGCTGAGCTTAGCCGGGCGGCTCACGGGGCTTAGTGACGTACTCTCGCTTTCCGCCGCTGGCACGGCAGAAGGAGCTATCAGGGTACGGCCTAATGCACCTTTCTGCGGCGCAGGGGAAGGCTGAACAGCGTTGAGAATGTTCCTGTCGATGTGACGAGCAGCTATTAAAACACACCTCGAGTATTTCTGCCTACAACCTGCATTTCTTCAGATTTCCCAGCTAGTTATGTAAGGCCTGCTGCGCCGTCATCAGTTGTTAACAGCTCTCTGTGTGCCTTTCGTCTTTGTCAAAGCTCCCACAGCCTTCAGAAGTTACCACACAGCACTTGCTGATGGGGTGGGCTGTTCAGGGCCCAGAAGTGGCTGTGTTACACGGTGAGAGAAGAAGAGCTGCTGAAACCAGGCTGCCTCTCCAGCACTGCACTCAGATGCTTGGAGGCATTGTGAGGTTGGCTGCTGTGTTTGATTAAGGACAGAGCACGCTGCTCTGGAAGCCTTTTTCTTTTTTAATATATTTTTTTCTGCTATCTTACATCATTTGTAAGAGGAAATTTGTCTGTGTATAGACGGACATACAGCTTACATACATAATGCTTTACAGTCTTGCTCTAATGTTTGCCTGCTAAGGTGTATGTATTTCCACTTTAGTGCAATATGCCTGCCTCTCTTGTCAGGAACCCTCATTGCCTGTTGTACTGCTATAGCTGCATCTCCTCCAAACCTTGCCTTTTTTTATAGTGGTCTTAGCAGGTGGCAAGGCAGTAAATCCCATTCTGGAGTCGGGCTTTGCTGCTGAAGCAGTTATCCAAACAGGAGTGCTCACAGAAGGAGCTCTAAAATCAATTTGATGTAAAATAAATAAATGTCCTGTAGTATTCCAAAAAGCTACAAAAGAGAAATGAGTCCATGCTATTCCTTCTCCCCTTCTTATGGCTCAGGTATGTGATGGCTCCCAGCCGCTGGACCTGCTGGAAGTGCTGCAGCCCCTGGGCTAGGTGCATCCTGCTTTTTCTTTGGGTCTTTTTTTCTGTGGGAAGGTTAGTTGTGGGCATCGTACCTGCAGGTGGTCTTGCTCCCCCCATAATAGACAGCTGGCTGCAATCCCTGGATTGGCCATGGAGCGTAGGCGGCTGGTAGTTAATTTTGGCTGTGTTCGGTATGGTTCCTGTTCATGGGCTGAGCTTTGTGTTTGTGATGCTCCAACACTAACAGTGGCACCCTCTGTTTGGGAGGAATCTGCGCAATCTGCCAGCTGGCTCCAGGAGGGAGGCCCATGGGTGGCTGACGTCTTGCTCAGGCCCGGTCACGTGCGTCAGTGCCATTGTTGGGACTGGTGGCTTGGGGAATTGCTGGGCTGTTTGTCAAGGGCGAACAATGCCATGTCTGTGGAGGGTTGTGTTACTGTAAATAACGTTTGAATATCATGAACAATCCTTTTCAGGACAGCCTCTCCCCCTCAAGTGTTCTGGCTGGGCTATTAGCAGCTTCTCCCACCCCCGCGGGCCCAGATGAATGGACATTTGGCTGATTTGGGTAACAGCATTCAATTTGATGGAAGCAGATAGCAGAGCTTTGGCTGTCTGAAATCCTTTTTATGAGCAGGGTGCTGCTAGACCTATAAAGGACAGAAACTGATTAAGCTGCACGATATCCTCTAGCTAAAGATTAGCTCTGGTCTATGGAAAGCCCCAAGGGAGCAACATAATGGGGTCTTCTGAAAGCTTTCTTTACTGTGTCCTTGTCGCCATTCTTGGGACTGAGAACCCACTGTGCAGACGATACGATATCAGCCCAGATACACCATCAGTATCTTGGTTAATCAGGACTACACTGCTGAACGGTGTGCAGTGACCAGCATCTAAGCTCTTTTGCCACGACCAAATGCAGGCAGTCCTGCACTGCAGAAGAACCTGCTCGCTTGAGCTAAATGCTTCCAGTAGTTTGGTGGCTTCCAAGCAGGATACAGTCTGTGACCGGCTGCAGGGAGAACAGCAGCACAGCTGCCTGTGCCTGCCTGTGTTGGGCGGATGTGTATCTGCATGCTGCTTCAGTACGGGTAGAGCTCTGGAAAGGAACTGCAGTGCTACACCGCAGCAGTGCTCTGTGTTGTTCTCAGATGCTGACAAATACCACATGGTGCAGGGGAAGCCACAACAAAACCTGTAACAGGCAATTATGAAGTACTCTATGTAAAGGAAGTTTTTTCCTACTGTCTTACACCTGAAGGCTTGAGGGTTTATTATTTCTTTTGTCTAGTGTAGCAGCTCTCGTTATCAGAAGGTTCCGAATCTTAGTAGGAGGTAGGCCTTAGTGGTGTCCTCTGGGGAGTTAATTGGATGCTCGGGTAGGAAAACTGGAGTGTTTCCCAAAAATTGTGTTAGGTATGTAGCTTTTCTGTATGTTTTGTTTTATTTCTCATGGGGAAACAAGTTGTTAGATTGCACAGATGTTTTTCTGTTTAAGGTGGAGGGAAAGAAAATGGCCAACCTATCCTCCTTGTACACAGAATACTTTGTGTACCTCTGTATTCTGTGCTTTTGAAATTAGTTCCAAGCTTTTCAAACGTATCTGTTGAGGGAAACTGGGATACATTCCAGTGGAAAGCATGCTGTTGATTTTCACACGGTTTTGTAATACCTTCTTTTTTTTTTTTTTTTCACCCAACTTGTTGGTCAATGTATTTCATCTGATTGGACCTCCTCATTGGGCACAGTAATTCTCAAGCCTGTGCCACGTAATGTGTGTCTTTTTTTTTTACTCTTGGTTGAAGCATTTTTATAGACGCGCTGTTTTTACCTATTCTTAGTAGTTTCATAGATGTGGTGCAAAGCAGTCATTATTCTGTCTGTGCAGTCTGAATTGTCCTCTGAACTGACTGTTGTGGATGTTGGCACTCAGACCTTGCGTAACTCAGGGCTGCACTGATCATTCATTTCTGGAGAAATAGATGTGCCTTTCTCCATCTCATCCTGTGGGAAATTAGTCTTTTTTTGTACCATAAGACTTCTCTGTATTTGTTACTACGGGAATTTATAAATTTTATTTGCAGAAAGAAGGCAGTAGTTGACACTTCATACATCTAGAGTTCCTAAATGTAGTCTGTATTCAGCTGTCATAAGAGGAAAAGAAATTAGTGTGGCTTTCAGTTTTGGGTTGGTTTTCTTTTTCTGTTCTGTTTTCTTTTACTTTTTGTCTGTTTTGTATATTTGTTTTAATGTGAGAGTCAGTGATTACTTGAGAGGCACTCTGACTTTGTCAGCTCAGTGAGGATGAGTAGGAGAGAGTTTGATGTAGTTGCCAGGGAGGAGGAAAACTGTAAAAAGAAAAGTATCTGATCCAATAGGGAGGCTAGGAGATGTCTTTTACTTCTTACGCTGCCAAAACTCTGTAGTGTGAGCCTATGGCAGTGAAAAACTGCATTCCTTACTCTTATTATCTCTTTTACAGATAACTGACTCAGCGGGGCACATCCTGTATGCTAAAGAGGATGCCACTAAGGGCAAGTTTGCCTTTACCACTGAAGACTATGACATGTTTGAGGCCTGCTTTGAGAGCAAGCTTCCTGTGGGTAAGTGAAAGAACCACTGGCTGCCTTCACCTTCTAATGAAGTTGGTGTAGATGTGGATGTTTGGGTTAGTGGAATGTGTAAAGTTATCCTGAGCATAGTCTGCAGAACATTTTCTTTTAAAGCTGTGTTTCAGGAGTTTGTGTGTATTCTCCATGGTGCAGAATATCTGCTGTCTGTGTTGCATTTGGAAGTTAAGTATTCCTCTGTGGCTGTTGTGTAGAGTGCTCAGGTTTCTTCTGTAACAGGAAAAAGAAAGGGGAATTGTGTTCCTCCTACACAGGTTACTGCAATTGCTATGAATGGTGGTTGCAAGGAGCAAAACACACCTCTCTTGTTCTTTTCATGGTTCCTGCCATCCTGCAGTCAAGCAAGGACAAAGCAGAATACCCTGATCTCCAGGACATAGTTTTTCTGTCATGTTGACCCACTCCTCTCCTTTGGTGGAATGTAATCTCAATAGAATGTGCACTTTGCAGCAATCCTGTTAGGCTAGCAGCTGTTTTCTGGAGTTCCTGTGTGTGTATCAAAGAGCATGGCCTTCATTTGCACCCATAGCTGCTGAGCGGTCAGTAAAGGGAAGAGGAAATGAGCAGGACGTCAGTATTGCCTTTGTGCTGCAGGGATGGTTGCCTAACGAGCACTGAGGCTCGTTTCCTTTGAGCGTGACGCATGTGCTGCTTTGAGTGGCTGGGCTCAGCTTCAGGACAGATGTGCTGAAAGCAGCTGACATAGGCTCCAGTCTGGTTTGCTTTGAGTATGTGCAAGTTTGTAGGTGCTTGCGTCTTTTCACCATCGCTGTTGGAGTTCTGCTCCCTGGAGCCACTTCTCCCATGTCTTATCTTAGAAGATCTCAAAGTTCTTTACAGAGCAGTCACTAGCAGCATTCCTCGTATCTCTTCAAATGCAGCATCTGTTTTGCTCTTCTGCTCCATCTATAACATGCAAATAGTTTGCAAGCTGAAGAGAACTTGTCAGATAAAGACAGGTATCTTTTATTAAGAGACATCTGGCTTGTAGCACCTCTTCTATCGTGTTTTTCAGATGAAATGGTGACTCTAAGTGCTCAGGGTTTTGCTTTTATTTCACTGCAAAGGTAGGGCTTCTCAGTGTTCCTTAACACATCAAGACATGCAGGTGCTAGTGACTCATATGGGAGAGTCACTCCTGCTATGTACTGTCCAACACCTGGGTGTTTGGGAGGTCTCCAGACAGTCCAATAAATCCTTTCTAGCTTCTGTGTGGTCACACAATAATGAAGTGGGAAAGGTTTCTTTCTTTAGCTGTGTCTAGACTTTCAGTGCTTGTGACCAGGGGTTTCTTGCCTAGACTGAGCTTCTTAACAGCTCTTTTGATTCTATCAAAGGTTTGTTCCTTGGCTGCCCTGTCTTGTTGAAAGCTTATATTAAAGCTTTTGGTACCAATGAGGAAAAATATTTCTAAGTCCAGCTTTACTTGGTGACCAGTGGGGGATCAAAGTGCCAAAATCTAGAGCTGTTCAATTCAGCAGCTGGATCCTCTTCTGAAGGTTTTCTCTTTAGGTCCCTTTGAGCTACCAGTTTCTTTTTTTTTGGGGGGGCATAATCCTTGCTAATGATACATACTGCATGATGGAGATCTTCTGATTTCCATACCTGTGTTGGGTATCACAAAAATGTTGAAGTAAGTGTGGTGGCACCGTGAGGCCTGATCATCTGCAGGACTTGATTAGGTCGATTAGGAAGAAGTAGCCATGTAGCAAGAGGTGCCTCGTTCCTCTATAATGCAGGCAGGGGAATGAGAAAACTGACTGAGATCTTTTTTCTCCCCGTGTTTCTCTTCAAAAAGTTTTGTTTTTTCATGGTTTCTTCAAGTAGGCAATCAGGACTTTTAGTGCTCCAGCTAAGGAGGATGTTGGTGGAGTGCTGGCAGAGGAGAACTGTTGGTAGAGGAAGCCTGGAGCCGTTGGGCCCTGAAGGATCTAAGCAACTGGGATTTCTCAATCCTTAACCACAGAAATAAGGAAGAAGAAGTGAGAAGGAGATGCTGTGTAGAAGGTACATGTTATGAGAGTGCAGGAGGTCTTAGGGTGCTTCTTGAATCCAAACTTACCCTCTTCTAGTTTAAAGCTGTTACTCTTTGTCCTACCACTACACCCCAGGATAAAGAGGCCTGCTCCATCTTTAATTCTCTGCTCATTCTGTAATCTTCAGTTTCCCAATCTTGTGTTTAATGACTTATTTATTCTGCCATTTCTCTGCGAAACATTTTTGACATCCAGTTCGACTATCTTGTTTATCCTTTGACTTGGCAAATTAGGAACTTCCTTTGTCTGCCAGGAAACAGCTCTGTGCTCGTTTGAGATGGCCTCTTGAACACTTACAAGTGGGAGATGTGGTATCAGCTGGATAGTTTAGTTCAAGACCTCTGGTAGTTACTATTTGTTTTTCCTTTGCTGCTGATCTGCTCTGCTCTGGTGAGCACCAGCTGCAGGAGGAGCAGGGAGTTACTGAGGATCTGACAGGCTTAAGGGAAGCTCAGAACACTTCTAGAAGTGCAGCTTCGGTTTTTCCAGGACAATCCCCAACAATGTTAACCTCATGCAGAACGTCTGCTTTCCGCCCCTTTGCACCCAGAAGCTCTCATTTTTAATGCTTTCTTTCTGCCTCCTGGCATCTCTCCCTTCCAGCCTGACAACTGAATCCTTCCAGTTCTGTTTTCGTGTTTGCTGGCCTTTTCATCTTTTCCTGTTCCTTCCTGGAAGCTCCAGCTGTCCCCCCGAGTTGCTGTAATTTAAACATAGAAAAAACCTCTCACCGAAACTGTGTTTTGCATTTCTTTTCTGCAGCTACTGTTGGCCACCCTGTCCACCAGTCTCCAGGCATGCTGATATAAGGTGTAGGTGCTCAAAGCTTGTTGGCTGGAGAAAGGAGCACTGGGTGGTTGTAGTCGACGTGTCTGTTAAAGAGCAGTGCTGGGTTTTAAGTTTATTCTTGCGGTATCTGACCTTGTATAAGAAAACCAAGGAGTTCCATCCTAATCCTAGTTTATCCATTAGACTCCTCAAACAGCTGAGTTTGAGGAAACCTAGGAACTTGGGAAACCTAGGAAATCTAATAGTTTGTAGTTGATATGGGCCGTGTTGCTAGGAGATTATTCCATGTGCTGGTAGCAGTAGAACATGGAGGTGATTCCACTCTGTTGTTGGAAGAGCTGTTTAGTGAGTAGAGAAAAAACTTAGAGGTGCCCTATTGAAGGTCTGGAATACATTCCTAGCTCTGACTGGAGTGACCTTGTGTAACCTCTACTTTGAATTTGTTTGTGAACCGAGAGATTGTCCACCTGGCAGTCACCTCAGGCAGTGTGAGTATTGGACATGCTCCTGGATAAAGGCTCTGAAGTTTGTAGTGTGAATGAATTCAAACGTTGTGCTGTTCTGGCAGCTAGCTGAGGACATCCATATACCTCAGAGTGCTGGGATTTAGGAATGTGTTATGTACAGACATTTCCTTGGTGGGTGGTATAGTGGAATATGATACTCAGGTCAGCTGATGTGCTACATTCTTTAGAGTATCTTGAATACATAGCCTTTTTTTTTTTTTTCTTTCTTGTGAGTATTCCCAGATATGATAGTTTGTAGCCATTGAAAACAAACAAAAAAGCTATTAGATATAGGCTTCCACAGCCCTAAAAGTTAACAAGTTAACCTGTTGTGCTGTTGACTGCAACCTTTGTTAGTCTCCTGGCATCTTGAGATTTGCATTAGCAGTGTGGATCTTAAGACATCTGGTCAGTTCATTCCCTGAATTCCCTGAACAAAGACGTTTTGGAAGAGATGCTGCCCTAATTTCTGCGATGCTGTAGCATGAGGAGGTCAGCAGTCCTCATATGCCACGTTCCTCAATTATGGAAGCTTTCTTCCTTCCGGTCTAAATGTAAAATCATTTACAACCCCAGTAACCTTGATAAGTTATTGGTACACTTCCTGCAAGGAAGAACGTGGGCTTCCCAGTTGAATATCAGTCCCCCAGTGACTTGCCTTCAGCCAGGCCGTCTCATAGCAGCTGGTATTGCTCTTCTAATCCTTTGCAGTTTTTACAGCGACTTGCATCCTACGCATACTTAGCACTTTTGGTTACAGCTTGTTCCCATTATGTTTGGGAGGCTCTCCTTCAGCCAGGATTTATTCTGAAGTCTCTGTATTTTTAGGTTGGACTGTGCTGCCTCCGCAGTTAGCTGCAGACATGGAGGGGCGGGATGTTGTGAGTCCTTTCTCAGCACTGGGGAGAGCTGGTGATTTCCTGGCAGGCTGACTGTTTCACACAATGAATCCTTTCATTATGCTTCCAGGAACAGGGAGGATGCCGGACCAGCTCGTGATTCTGGATATGAAGCATGGAGTTGAAGCAAAGAACTACGAGGAGGTATGTCCCCTGGCTGCCTGCTCTTCAAACTCCCCTTTCCCAGCACTCACGTGGTGCTATTTGTAGATCTGGGGCTCATGATGGGAAGCTGTTTTCCCAGCGGTGATGAAAGCTTGTCTGCAACCTACTATTCTAGTGAAGCTTTGTATGCGAGAGGGGGGAAAAAAAAAAAAGACAAACATCAGCTAAAATTCATTCGGTGCTCCGTAAACCAGAGCCTAATGTGTGAATATTTTTGCCAGGACAGTGTGACCCAGCTTCTGGGCATAGGTATTAGAAGCAATGAGATACTGAGACGTGCAGTGTCCCCTGCCCCAGCCTTGGAGAGCATTTTAGGTTAATATCAGATCCTCTTAAAGGTCAGGTTGCTTTGTTACTGTCGTTACCTTCCTTGCTGTAGGATGTACTGGTGTGACAGCCCTGAAGTGGTACTCGTGCATTTGTAAGAACTGGCAGTGCATCAGTGTGAAGGTATTTGGCAGAGCAGTAGTTGGTGTGAGATGGGTGTTTGGTTTGAAGGTGTGACATTGGGAACAGGCATAAAAACTTAAATGTTTACATCTTAGCAGAACATAGCTTTCTTAGACTCAGGAGCAGCTGTGCAGAATAGCAATTGCTTTGTGGCTGGGACAGTCTCTGGCTGGTTTGGATGCTGAGTTTTGATGACTGCTGCTATGTTTTTTGCTTGCTGGAATTTGGGGTCAGTAAGCTTCCAGAAGAGTCTGTGCCTGAGAAAATTAGAGTTGTTAGTGGAGAAAAGTTCCTGCAAATGTTTGCCATGCTCACTGCTTAAAACAGACTGGGAGATGTCTGAGAATAGAAAGCTGCTAGCAAAGGACACTGCATATAGGAACAATTAGAAAACTAATGAACTTCTCAGATGGTTGGGCAGGAGTTTTTATATCCTTTTGTGTTTTGGAGAAGCTGTTCATCCCTGGCTGGAGCCCATCCTACATGAAGAATAAAAACCGCTTGGGGTCAGGAAAGAGCAAAGCAATCGTTGTGCCAACTGCCTGGCTAAACCAGCTGTTGAAGTATTACAAGATGTTGAAGTCTTACAGGGTGACCCCTGAGAGTTTAACTGGGAAGATTCTGGCGACTGCACTTAGAGAATCTCTCTAAATCAACCCTGCAGCATATTCTTGAGTTCCATCAGGGTAGTGTGAGGTACCTCTTGAGGTACATTAGGGTAGTCCTCATTAAGGAGGAGGGGTGTACCTAGAAGCATTGTTTCAACAGAAAGGTCCTGTTTGGTACAACTTATTGGTTGTACTGATAAAACTTTGCGTAAAAGCAAGTATGAAGTATGCATTACTCTTGTTTCCAGTGTAATTATACCAAAGGTAAAGGTCCAGGGGCAAACATGGGAAAAGAAGAATTTAGACTTGCAGCCCCACTTGATTGCAGACATTGCTAGCAGGCATTCTTGATTTTTTTGAGGACCTTTGGGTGTTGCAAGGTCTCGGGGAGGACTGTTGCCCAGAGTTCTGTCCTGGGATTGCTGTCTTTTTTGGGCCTCTTGTTTGTGTCCTTTTTTTGATGTTTGTGTCCTTGCATCAGTGATCTGCCCTCCCTTTCAGTTCCCTTTGCTGAACTGCTAAGGAATTGATGAAGAGTGTTGATTGAAGGTCAGTGATGCTGACCTGCTTGTGCGTGGACATAGGCAGTGGGAGAAGGGATAGTGTCTCAGTCTGGCTTCATAAGCTTTCATAGCTGCAGATACTCTTGGGGCAAAGCAACTTGGTGATGTTAAGGCTAGGAAATCTTAATGACCTGCTGCATGGCATTGCCAGCACCTTAGTTCTCTGAGGTAGGGAAATGTGGTTTTCTCCATTCAGTATGTAGAAATGAGGGTAGGAAAAAGTGAAAGGTCTCTTCAGAGAACACCAGGAAGGCTTGGGGATTGAGGTTCCCTTGCAGGTCTGCAACTTGTTGATTCTTGCCCATGGTCTCTCTATGCTAGGGAGTTAGGCTTTGCATATTTAAGAGGCCTCACTGAGAAGCTCAGTGGCCTTGTTGCCTCAGTTGTTACGCTGGCCCAGATGTTCTTGTGCCTTCCAGGATGGTGTTTCACTGTTCCCCTGTGCCACGAGGCCTGGGGGGCTTCTTACAAACTCTTGGAGCAGCTGTGCACGTTGGCTGCACTAGAGACAAGAAAGTTTCTATCTGAGAGTACTGAAATTAGCTATCCAGTGTTTCTACCTATACGTATTAAGAGTAGCTGAAGGGAGTGCAGAATGGAGCAAGCAAGCCCAAGTTTCTCCCAGTGGACTTTTCTAGCCTTCTGTGAATATGAAAGAGCACCATCTGGGAGGATAATGGAGCTGGTCTGCTAGTGACTTTGTCAGCAGTGGTGCCTGGGGCCTTCCTTGTGCATGCTACAGCAGAGTGCAGGCCATAGGCATATTTCTGCTAGTGCTGATTCTTCAGCAAAGCTCTGCTAACAAGTATGAATCCAGGCCCCAGAGTTTCATCCGTACAGCCTCTTGACTTGAAGACAGGAGGATTAGAAAGATTTTAATCTACCATTTCCCACTACCTCCTCATACATGCACTCCAAATTGATTCTGCTGTGTTGGCAGAACTGTAATACAAAGCTCACCTCAGCATAAAAATACTCAGATGACTGCTTGAGGGCCTCCTGCGTCCCAAGTTCCGTGTGTCACGTGAAGACCCTTCAGTGAAGTGTTTGATTAGCTAGCAGTGTCCTGGTCGTGAGTGCCTCTTCAGGTCGGTTCTGAAACCTGGGACTGTTTCCAGCGGCAACGTTTTGGGATGCCCGCTCCCCGAGCGCCATCTATTGGCTGCCTGAGAGTGTCTGGACCACGGGGAGATGCCATCCTGGCCTCGTTCCTGAGTCACGGTGGTGAGACCAGTGCTTCAGAGCCAGTCTGACCCAAACATGCACCATTCATTTTCTGTCGCGTGTCTTTCTTGCACTGTGTGATGTTATGACATGGTGTCTGTCGTTCCTGGTGGGGGCATTCATAAGTAGTGACAAATTCTACACAAAAAACAGTGTTATCCAAAACATACATTGTAATAGTGGCAGGATCTGCAGTTAGCTTCCCTTTGTGCTGTGCTTGTGTCACCAACTTTACCTAAGGTTTAGTCCAGTGATGGCCTCGACTGGGACAAAATTGAGCTTATACATTCAACTTCAAACAGTTACTGTTGTGGACTGTGCTAATTGAATTTCCTGTTGATTTTTCTCTTAGATACAAGCCTGTAACTTGCAGTTTGCATGATCTGCACAAAAATGATGTCCCATAAAACCAGCTTTTATGAAGGGAAGCTTTTTAATTTTTTAAGCTGGCTTAAGGGGAACCCATCTCATACATATTCCAACAGCGTCATCTGGTGGAGTACATTGTGGCTGTGTGATCTCTGCTCAGAGTGGCTCTGCACTGCTGGCCTTGAGGTTAACAGTAAAACTACAAAAGCCCTGGGTGTCTGTGGATGTAATCAAACCACTGCTGTCAGGACTCAGGCTGCCCTGACTTTCTGGTACACATGACAACATTTAGCCCTGTGAGCATGTGAGTCTCAATGCTAATAAGCAGTGTGCATGTATAACTGTGCTGCACGTGTGTGCAAGTGACAGTCACTTGTATCTTGGTCTTCTGTTCACTAGAGGTTTAGCCATGTGGCAGGCTCTTCTGCCCACTCATCAAAAGCAAACTGAATAAACTAACTTCAGGCTGAATAAGGAAGAAATGTGCATGTGTGCGTACTGTGCTTCTCCGTTGAGTAGGAGGGGTAGACCTAAGTGTGCTTTAAGGAACAGGTGGGAGAAGTGATAGTGTTTTATGCAGTGGTAGTTTCTGGCTCGCAGAGCTGTTACCCTAAGGGGAAAGATGCCCCAGATCTGGAGTATGTGAGAAGGAGTGGTTCAAACTGGCAGTAAAAGCTCATGTGGGAGTTCTCATTTTTGGCTTAGTGACTGTCTGACTGTCTTGTTTTCTAGATTGCTAAAGTGGAGAAGTTGAAGCCTCTAGAAGTAGAACTGAGACGCCTGGAGGATCTTTCAGAGTCCATTGTAAATGACTTCGCCTATATGAAGAAACGCGAAGAGGAAATGAGGGACACAAATGGTAAGAGACAGCGTGTTCCTTTAGAGGGCTGGAGCTCTAAGACCCTCACTTCCACTGAATGTGTGACAAGGATAGCATTTGGAGACCAAGCAATTACCAGTGGTCTCTGCTTATTCTGTTTCTAGTACAGGAAAATGCTCTGATATTTCTCTTCTTCTGAAGCAGTCACCTAAGTCCTTTGTGGCCCACTTTAGAAAGCTTCTTTTTTTTTTTTTTTCCTTTTGTTTTCTGTTTTCTTTGTTCATAATGTGAACTATTCTGTACTATTTAGTGTTGCCCTTTAACCGTAATTTTACCTTGTCCCTCTGACTGTCTCTCTCATTGTTCCCTCTGCATTTATTCTCAAGTATTGCTGGTGCTTGTGTAACTGTGCCTTTATGTCATTCGATGTCTTGTCTGAAGTTTTTCAGAGGTGGAGAGGGAAAATCCTCGGAATGTTGCCCTCTTAAGGAGCATTTTATGATGTCAAACTCCCATGTGATGGTATTTTGTGTGTTTCAGAATCAACAAACACTCGGGTTCTGTACTTCAGCATTTTCTCCATGTGCTGTCTCATTGGACTGGCCACCTGGCAGGTATTCTACCTGCGTCGTTTCTTCAAGGCCAAGAAACTGATTGAGTAAAGGAACAAGTCCTCCTCCCCATCTTCACAGCCCCAGCTGGACACTGCTGGAACCCAGCCATGTCCTCCCAGAGCCATCTCACAGATGACACCCACTGACTGGAGCTATTCTGCAGGAACTTGAACCCTAATAGGGGAGGGGAGCATAAACATTGGAAGACTGGGGACTTCAGAAATCCTGTTGGATATTAAGGGTTGGGAAGCTTGTGGTGGGTTTGGGGATTCCCGGGTCAGCGATTAAATAAAAATGATTTTTCTATGACAGCTGCAGCCAACTCTTGCACTGCCTGTTCTCCTCTTATAATCTTGGCTTGATGATGTCTCCCATCTGTCTGTGACTGTAATGTTACTTTGAGGCACCTGATCCAGCATTAGGTGCTGTGCAGCTAGCACCAGGGCAGTGCTGGGGATTCCCCGTTCTGATCAGCTGAGATCTAAGCCTCGTGCGAATAAAGGTGAGTGCAAGATAATAGGTTCATCATTCCAGCAGGGGCTGAGGTTGGAGGAAGGTCCAAGGCTTGGTCCCTGTCGTGGACCTCGGTGTTTCTCCCTGTGGGAGCTGGAGTTTTTATGCTGATGGCTCAAGGCGCTTAAGCATATGATGATTCAGTGTGGAGGAAGGGAGAGCCTTGGAAGGAGGGTTTGGTAATATGTTTGAGCTTGGGAAGGAGAAGCCTGCTTTGCTTAAATTGGCTGTCCAGCCTTGGCCCCCTTATTTCATGTGCTCTTGTTGGATTTGCCTCTCTTGTTCCAAAATGATGCAGCAGTTTTTCTGAAAGCTGTGGTCATTGGTGACCTTTTGTGCAGAGAAGAGGCCTCAGTTAGATACAGTCACAGAGCAAATTGGAGCAGGTTATGCTAAGAAACTTGATTTTTAATTGAGCAGGAGACTTTTCTCATCTAACAGTGTAACATTTATTCAGCAGGCAGGTGGCTGAACCTCGTTTTCTGAGACATCAAAGCAAGGTGGGCTGCTGTCACTGTGCCTTGTGCGGCACAAAGGCCTGTACCCTACTTTGAGGTCTGAGGATGCAAGGGTTGCTTTGCAAGTTGGCAGAGGAGTTGTTGGAAGGACGTGAATGAACTTGAAAAGCAGTGCAGAGTAGGAACACGTTGATGCTACATCTGAGGGCTGTCTGATCTGTGCCCTCCACCAAACTGTTACTCTGTGCGGTACCGCAGTGAGAGCAAACAGCCATTCATTGTTTCTCAGCTGTCCAGATGCAGTTGTGTTGAATAAGCAAAGCTGAGGAAAAACAGACAGGTTAACTTCTTGGGCTCGCATGCTGCAGTTTTTAGGCAGTGATTAAAATTCTTAAGCCTTCTCTGCATTTCTTCAGAGCAAATGGTTTGGCAGCACAGCTTTCTGGTCTCAGGTGCCTCGACCCTTCTGACATGGGAAAAGGTTACTGCAGTCCTGGGCCCAGCCTACCACGTTTTAAAAAGAAAAAAAGAAAAAAAAAAAAAGCATTCATGATTTCTAATTGGAATCTGATCTATTACCAGGAGGGAAACGGTTGTCCAGGGCGAAGCTATGGGAAAGAAGGTGAAAAGAGGACATACAGTCATCTAAATAAGTTACTGCTTTGTCTCTTCTTTGCCATTGCTGAGATCCTGGAGTAGTTTGTTCTACTGGCAAGTGCTTATACTGCTTTTAATTTTTATTTTTTTTATAAAGCTATATTAAGGATCCAAGTCCACTCCCCTCCCTTTGCATCCATGCTATCCTTGTACACTTTTGAGAGCTGTTACAGTGCAGAACAGTGATGCCACAGGACTGAATTACAAGTCATTTGAAGGTAGCTTTAGGTCTTACAGTTTGAAGCCTGTAGATCTGTTAAGGATTTTTGATTTTTGTTTTTATACAAGTTGAAAAGACAGTCCACGCAAGGGGCTTTCCCTGTCTTATCTGTTATGACATCCTCTCCCCATCCTCATCAGAATACAAAAATACCTTTCTCTCAGAAATGGTGGTGAAGGCTTAAGTTCCCCAGGTGACTGTTATGGTATCATCACTGTAGTGCTGCACATTGATCCTCACTGTGCTGGTGTGGTTATGGGGAACAGATGTGGGGGGGCTTATACGGATTGACCTTGTAATGACTGGTTGGGGAATTTTTTTGATTTTTCTCTAATAAAATGTCTTTGGGGAAAAAAATCCAGTTGTCTTTGTGTCTTGTCCTTTGTGCATGTCCCTGCTGACTGCTGTTTCCTACAGGCTTCTGCAGGAAGCAGAAGGAACACAGACCCCTGGCATGCCTTCAGGTTTCTCCAGCAAAAGTTCATTTCTGAAGAATTTAAGAGCTTAAGACTGTGGTGGGGTGCCAGGTGCATGGGTTTCTCCTAGGAGTGGGATTGGCACAACAAATGTTGGTCATTCCAAAACGTGTTGCTAGTAGAAGTTACCTTTTGTTTCCTTTTTTTCCCCTCCATTCTTCCTTATCATCTTCCCTCTATGTGGAGAGGTCTAAACACTACCAACTTGTTTCACACGTGGCTGATAGTGAAATAGGGCTGGTACCATAGGACACAAGGTTCAGTTTTTCACTGTCGGTTCCCAGGTTTGTTAAGACAAATTACTGTCAGTTGTGAGCTTGAGAGGAAAATTTAAATAGGCAGGCAGGTGGGTCAGTCCTTGTGAGTGACAGATGCTTAGTGAAGGGAGCGATTAGGTATTTACTTGCTTCTGCTGTCAGATCACCTCTGCTGAGCCAATGATCCTTTTGTTGTGCAGTGACCAAGTGAGATGGCAGATGGCAGAACTTGAGGCCTTGCAAGTTCTACATAACTGGGTTGTAATGTCAGAATTTCTAGGGCGGAAATTCCCAGATCTTTGGATAAGGATTAACGTCTACAAGTTCTTGCTTGGATGAATACTTGAGTATGTGAAATTGTACAGCTGTTCCCATGCGGTAGGTTGGAGGTGGGTCTGTGCTGTGCTGTGGATGCACAGCAGTCTGCTCATTCCATTTTACTTCTGGGAAGTGGGTTAAAGTTGAGCTATTGCAGATACTTGAGTCCAAGCCCATCTTTCTGTGTGACAGATGCATCGCTAGTAAATCTATAATTGCCTGTGGCAAACTGCATCAGAGGTTTTCAGCCTCTTCCACCCACTTGTCAATGTGAGTAACAATTTAATTATCACACCACTTACACAGCGCGTGAGCATTCCTCAGTAAGGAATATAACGCCGTGTTCCCCTCCTGCTCTGTCAGCGTAGCTGCTGTGTGCGTGCTGTGGGAGGAGAACGTTTCACACTCTGCTGCTCATTTCTCACAACTTGGTCAGAGATACGAGAAACAACCCAAGTGTGCAACACCTGTGCTGCCTCCTGACTGGCAAGATCAGTGTGTTTAGCTGCGGAGCAGCTGCTGAGGGGCTTCTGACTCAAACTGGTTTGCCAACTGGTTGGCAAGGTCGATAGGGGATTCCTGCCCGGGTGTTTCATAAGGTCCTGCTGCAGAGATCCGGAGAAAGCAGTGAGGCGTCTCTTACCCGCTGCAGTTTTATGACATGAATTTGTCTCGGCGCTTCAGCTGCGCCCTCTGCTGTGCTTATCTTGCTGCAATCTGTCAGAGCTCTGCCGGCATTGAACAAAGTCTCTTTGTTTGACTTGCTTAAGTCAAACAAAGTTTGGTGGGAAGGAAGGGAGCACAGATCTGAACTGGGTACGTTTCTTAGAGTTGAAAAAAGCTGGGCATGTGAAGTCCATTGCAGTTCAGTTCTGTCTGCTTCCTTTACCCCACCTGAAGCATTTCTATCAGGCCCATTTGCTTGTTCTTTTTTTGTTTCTACCCCCAACAACCACCAGTGCTGGTGCGGTGCCTCTGGGAGGCCTGCCTTCCTTGGAGATTTAGAAAAAAAATACACGTTGACATTTCTGGGACCTTTCTGTAAGCCTGGGAACTGTTGAGCCCAAGCTTTTGCCTCAACACAGAAACTCTTTGCATTTGTTCAGCGTTAGCTTTGCAAACTGTTTTGCTTTGAGCTGGAAGTTGTTTGCAGTAGAAGCCCTGTCTCAGCTGCAGCTGAAGTGACAAACTGTCTGCAAAACGTTGGCCGTTGATAACTCCTTATGTTGCAAGTGGTTTGACTTGTTTTATTTCAATTTTTACAGTGAAACATTGAATAACTTCCTCAAAAAAGGCCGGGATAGAACTACTCTTGCATAGCTCAGTTCTCACTTCTGTGGTTTGCTCTCATTTATTTCCTTTCATAAGTGATACGCCTGAGGTAGTTTTCCCTGAGCTTAAAAACCAACTACATGATGTGATCCTTCCCTAAGCTGTACCAGGAGGTCCAGTTACCTTCAAGCACACGATCTGTTCTCCTGGTTCTCTGGGGCACGCTATCCCCATAGCTGCCACACAGGTGAGGCACGCAGAGGAGAGGGCACTTTTGAGTTTCCTGCTACGCTGCACTGCAACTTCAGTTTGGTTTGCTGCAGAGCTTTACCTCTACAGCACATACTAATTGCTCATTCTGCTATATGTGTATTTAACCGGGGTCTCATTGTGTTGGTGTCTTAATTGTAATTAACCACATGGATGACTTTTCATTTCTTCCTTCTCAGTGTGGACTGCACTTTCCCTATGTTAGTCATGTAAACAGTGTACTGTCTTGACGGCTGAAACCCCTCAATGACATCCTTGATCTAAGGCTCACGTTCACTATGGTTTACTTTAAATAGCACTGTACCTGAGTCCAAATTGATCTTTGTACCATGTTTAGCAAGAGACAAATGGCATGTTACCTCTAGACCATGTGGTTTCTTTCAGATAGCGTTTAGTAAAATAAATAAATAGATAAATAGTTAAATTGGGGTGCCTACTTTTCATCCATATGCCAGTGAATCTCTGTGGGCAGCATCTGTTCATATTTTCAGTTGGAAGTGACCTGCAAGGGACCCATCATTGAGCCTGACTCCCAGCTCCACACAGTACCACCCAAAAATCAGACCATCTCTGTTGCATGCTTTACATGCATCTTGGTGTGTGTCTTACTGCACAGCTCTTTAAAGCATAGGAAAGTCAGAAGTATGTGTGCAGTGGCTGTACCTGTGGAAGGTACTGCTGTGGTATTTTATGGCAGCTATGTCATGGTTGCAGGTAATGGACAAGATAACTGTACTTTTCAAATATGGAAAAAGAATGTTAATTTTTTCAATCAGTATTCTGGTGTTAAACAGCTGTTCAAGGCTCTTTAATCTCAATTCCATGAGCCTTTGGAGCATTAGTTTTTATTTATTATTATAATTATTTTTTGGTCCATACTGCATTTGGAAAGGTACTCTCTTTGCAGTGGAAGGATGGAATCCTACTTAGCAGAACGTATCTGAGCTTTTTCATGTGTAAGTTCTTTTTTTCCCCCTGAAATTGTAGTACCATTTTTACTACTTCTAAGGACAAAGTATTGGTATGGCAAAGGTAAACTTTAGTGGACAAATGATTCATTCTTAAAATAAAAGTTTGTAATGGAAATGCAGAATGGCTTTGTAAGGTGCACCCCCTTTTGATTCACACTGAGCAATAACAGCCTTTCCCAAGGTGTGAGATGGAAGCCAACCTGCTCTGTTGTGCCTGGTTTTAGGGACTTACACCTCAGCTCCTGAAATCCTCTGTGACTGCGGGGTCAGGTACCCAGAAGTGATTTTTTTTCTCATCATGAAACAGCCTTCTGATCTGTAGCGGTGGCTGTAGAGCTTTGAAAACAAAACACCGGCATCACGGCAACGTGGGTTACCTATGAAGAAAATGGATCGTTTACTTAAGGTGAAGGTTGCCAATACCTTCTTCTAACAGAGCAGTTATTGCACTTCTGTCTTTATAATGCTATCTACTAAGTTTTCAGTTTTTCATCTCAGATAGAGAAAAACGCCACAGATCAGGAGTGGCACAGTAAAGGATGGGTGTTATTTGCAGTGAGAAGTGCGAGTTCATCACAGCTGCCCTCATCTTTGGGGCAGCTGTCTAAGCTCGGCACACAACTGCAGTTTATCATCAAGTTCTCCCAGGAAAAAATATTTTTTCTAAAACCTGCACTAGTGTGTATTATAGTAAGGAAAAAGCAAAGCTGGTTCGCGTCTGATAATGACCTTTTTTTGGACACGAATCGGGTACTTCAGAGAACGTTTATCAACCTTTCCGATAAAGCAGTCCTCAAGGCTCGGCTTCGAAGGAGACAGACCGACCGCTCCACCCAGGAGCTGCTCGACGGGCCCGGAGCCTCGCAGCCGCTCCCCGCGTGGAGCGGGCCCGACCCGGAGCGAAGCGCCGCCGGCCCGCGGGAAGGAGGCTCGGGCCGGCCCCGCAGGGCCCCGCCGGAAGGCCGGTCCGCCCCGCGGCCACGCTCACCGAGCGGCTCCCGCCTCGGGCCGGCGGGGGCGGGAGCGCGGAGGTCGGCGGGCGGCAGGAAGCGGTTCCGGGTCGGCGGCGGGAGCCGACATGGAGCCCGTCGGACGCGCGGGGCCTCGCTGAGGGAGCGGCCGAGCCGGGCCGCGCGGCGCCGCGCCGCCATGTCGCTGGGCGAGTACGAGCGGCACTGCGACTCCATCAGCTCCGACTTCGGCAGCGAGTCCTCGGGCCGGGGCGGCTCCCGCGGCGGCGGCGGCCTGCCCGGCGAGCAGGAGGAGCTGCACTACATCCCCATCCGCATCCTGGGCCGCGGCGCCTTCGGAGAGGCCACCCTGTACCGCCGCACCGAGGTAGGCCGGGCCGGCAGCCCTCCGCGCCGCGTCCTCCTCGCGCCGCCCGGCGTTGCGCAGCTCCGTGCCCGCGCCGCCGCCGCCGCCGCCGCCGGCCGGGCTCCGAGGGGCTGCCGCTCTCGTACGGCACCCTGCAGCTGTGGGGGCGGATGTGCGACGTTCCCTTTATTGGACCGGAGCGCGCGCGGTCCATTGAGCCGAAACAAACGTTGCGTCCTCTGCCCGCAGAAGCCTCGTTCCTTTTCTTAGTGCCCCCGGCTAGGAGAACTGTTGCAGGGTGCCTTTCCCGGTGACACACGGCACAGCTTGGAGCTCGTTGTTGCAAAGAACCTTCGTCTGAAATCTGTAAAGGCAGGAAAGCCTGCCTGCCTTTCCCGAAACTTTTAATTTCCTGCCGTAAAGGCACGTTGCTCTCTTCAGAGTAATGTGTATTTAATTAAAAGGTGTTTTTGTGTTTCAGGATGACTCACTCGTGGTGTGGAAGGAGGTGGACCTGACCCGTCTGTCAGAGAAAGAGCGTCGTGATGCTTTGAATGAAATCGTTATCCTTGCTCTGTTGCAGCATGAGAACATCATTGCGTACTACAATCACTTCATGGATAACACCACGCTGCTGATTGAGCTGGAGTACTGTAATGGTGAGAGCCCTCCTCCCTCTTACCGCAGCAGGCTGCTGCATTGCTGAGTTACCGTCCTACACAGCCCACAGGGAGAATTGCTGGTGCGTCCTCTGGGGGCAGAGGAACAGAGATGGATTGTGCTGCTTCCTGAAGAAGAGATTAAAAATCCTTCCGTGGTCTCTGCAGACAGTTCAGTGGGCAGTTTCTTGAGTGTTGAGAGCAACTGGTGCAACAGAAGTGGCTTACTGATAGTATGCGCTTCTAACCTGCCTTCTTTTGTTCTTACAGGAGGACAATAGGAGAAGAATATGGGGATATTTGGGCCCCTCTGCCAGTACAGAGTGGGGCTGTTTTCAGTCACGTAATCACCAAATAAAGGAGTCTGTTTAGAAGTCAGAGCTTGAAAATCTGTTGGCATGCTGCAATCAGGACTTCTTCCTGCCTTGTGCTGCCAGCTTCTGTGTTTACTGTTAAAAAAAAAAAATATATATATATATATACAGTCCCAGTGTTGGTGGAGAAAACTTTAAAATTTCATCCAAGAGTAGATCAGATGGGGGCATTTGCAGCTTGCAGGGTAAACAGCCTGGCTGGGATGGAGAGGAGGAAGGATTTGAGATGAGTGTCTGGGCTACAACTGCTCTTAGACAGCTGGAGATAGTATGTGGCTGGTATTGCTAGAACAGGAGACTGACTGGAGCTGGAGGCTGCTTCCTATGTGGGACAGCTCACCTGGCTACCTGTCTTCTTTGTGTTTAGGGGTTATCAGCTTTGGGTTTTTTTTGGTGGAAGAGACTTACTGTGCACCGCCTTTGATAAAGAGCTTTTCCCAGGATTGTCTGAGGAGGACAGCAAACCTGCACAAAACGTTTCTGCCAAACATCATTGACTAAAGCTGGTTTTGCCTCTCCCAGTTCACTGCTTTTCATTATGCTTGGTGGAGTTCAGTGCAAGGGTAGGGAAATGTGAGCTCCTTGAAGCACAGTTAGCTTTAGGAGTACTGTGAGAGCTCTTATCTGCCCAAAATGTCTGCATACTTGGAGCCGTTACAAATTAATCAGAGGATTATGGAGAGACAGTGGGTGGTACTGATGTCTGTAGTGTATGTCAATGATTCTAAACTCTTGCTTTGCTCTGAGACAGTGACAAGGAGATGAGTATGTGGCCTGCCTTACCTGAATATCTATCAGTGGCACAAAAGTAGGGGTGTGAAAAGGAGAGAACCTCATTTACACCTAAGAGGATGATGTTTGCTGAGGGCTGTTAGTTGTTGTACCCACTGCAGTGTGCCCTTGTATTTGTTACAATGTCAAGCACAAGATAATTTGTAATTCTTAAAGTAAGGCTGGACTTTTTGCTGTGGGACACTTCTCGGAACCCAAAAATACAGCTGAGACAAAAAGCATAGCTAAATATCCAAAGTCTGCTGTTTAATTAGCACCCCCTTTCTGGAGATGTGGTGAATATTAGCCCCACTGTACAAGTGAGGAAACTAACCTGTGCAAAGTTGTGTGTTCAGTGGTACCGTAAGATTTGGATTTATCATGAAAATAAAGCCATTGCATACACCTGAAACAAATTTGGGGAAGAAATATTCTATTAGAAGAGAGAAAACAGAAGAGAGAGTAGAGTCAAAAAGTCAAATGGGATGAGATGGAACAAAAAAAAGAGTAATTTGGTTCTGTTTTGGTATGCGTGCATGGAGTTATTGATCATCTGAATCAGGAACTACTTATCTCCTTGTGCAGGATTTGGGTGATGTGGTACTTGGTGGGCTGCACTTTGGCTCAGAAAAACTGTCAAAAAAAGATGATAAAAATATCAGAAATGAGGAACAGAAAATGCTAAAACCCTCTGTAGTCTGGATTGCAAGGAAGGAGGTTTGTGAGAAGAGGCATTTCAATTTTGGTTAAATTGTGAGTGTGAAGAGTCACTCATGGATCATTTACATACGTGAACCTAAGGCTGCAAAAGGAAATGTGGTGAGAGAGGTCGTAGTGTGACAGAATGAGAGGAAATTAAGCAAAGGGAGTCTTGACTGGAATATCAGAATATTCCTACTGCAGGAGTCTTGTCTCTTCAAGGGGACAGAGCAGCCATTTTTTTTGGACATCTACAACAGGACAGACTCAGAAAACAAACAACAGGAAGCTGTCTTGCACTACACCCAGGAGTACAGAATGGGGCCTGGTGTTCTGTTACTATTAGGATTTAAGATACAATAATTGGGAAATGGAATAGCAAGAAGATACGGTCAGAGGTTTGGTATTTGCTGGTAAGATGCTAATCTGGCAGAGTCCACTGCCCTCAGCACTCCACGTGATTTCTTTCAGTGCTCCTTTCAGTCTGTGAGTTGCCTTGGAGAGGCTGCATTTGCTGCTTTCAGGCTCCTGTTGGATGGGCTGCTGTTGTCAACAGTTTGTGAATCCTTCATCAATGTATTTGACATCTCAGATGGAGAGGCAGCTCAAATCAAGTGGGGAAAGGCAGTAATTGGTGCTTTCAGAGACTTCTGTGCTTTACAGTGCTGGTGGGGTTTTTTTGGTGTTTTGTTTGTTTTGAAATACATATATACTCTGCTGAAAACGTAAGACTTAATCTCACATGATTTGGTGTACAGGTTAAATGTTTGCATATGCCAAGAAGGGAAGTTCTTAGATGGAAAAAGTTAATTCTGTGTGTGCCTGACTGGTGTAAGTGGAGAGCATGGAGAGGGCTGGTGTGATTCACTCGGTCTTTAGTGGCATTTGAGCACTCGCAGCAGTAAGATAGGAGAGTAACTGCTGTCATTAACTAAGATGATCCTCTCTGTTTCTCACTCATATTACAGGAGGGAACCTCTACGATAAGATCCTGCGTCAGAAGGACAAGTTGTTTGAAGAAGAGGTAATCTGGACTGGTTTTGGGAGCAGTGGTGCTAGATGTGTGTTCTGGAGCTTTGTTTATGCTACTTTTTATTTTTTTTTCCTCCATATCACTGATGGGAATTTTTTTTGTAAATCTGGGGGGTGACATCCTTCCTCTTCTATTGAATACTGCAGACATTTAGGCACGATCAGAAACTTTATTTTCCTTCTTGGGCATCTCTAGACAATATAAGCTTCCTAGTGAGGAATAATGAAAGAGTGCACTCAGTTGGCTTTTGTCATCCCATCATCTTGGCTAAAAATTGACTTCAAAATCTTTCTTCATAGCTGGTACTCGGTTTGCTTCTTAACCATTTTCTAAGCTCTTTTCTGAGTAATTATTCTGAAGCTATCTCACCGTGGACTTTTTCTTTAAAACATATATTCTGCTGTTTCTACCTCATGTTGAGATGATGGTTATACTTATTTCTCTTACATAATACATTTCAGGGCCTTCTGACTCATGGTGAATGTTGAATGATCACAGTTAAATTCTAGGAAGTTCAGTTGAAGATCTTTTCTATCTTGTCATTAACTGTCTTTGCTAATTCTTTTAACTCTTTGAATTCTGTGTTGCCCGTCAGGACTGGCACTGTGAATGGCACTAGAAAATTCAGAGATTTCCAAAACAGGAAATCCTGAAGGTAGTGATACATTTTCATATTCCTGAGAGAGGATTGTGTGTGGTTAAGCCTTCTTGCTGTGCCTCTCTGTGTCAGGGATGTCAAGTCTTTTTTATTTTACGGGTCTTTTGGGGGTTTCTGCTTAAGCCTCACATAAGACTTTTATTCCTACCTTACAGATGGTGCTTTGGTATCTCTTCCAAATTGTATCAGCTGTGAGCTGCATTCATCGAGCAGGAATTCTTCACAGGTATGTGCTGCATGGCATACAGCTGAGGTAACAAGTGCACTTTGTGGATGTGAGTGCAGAACTCCTTTGAGTACCCTCTGCTCTTGCGTTTAAAGGAAGCCATAAGATTCTCTGTTCAAAACGTAGC